ACAATGCATTTGTTTGATGACGAGTTCATTGTAATTCAGTATTTGTATCAAAGATGTTCTATTTCGCTCAAAAGCATTCTTATCTTCGTACTGGGGATGAGTTATTTCCAAAGAGATGATGAACAAGTCTTTCTTCATAAGACACATTTGATTGGTCACGCATTCCTTTTCCCACCGCACAACTCCCAGTTGTGATCAAAATGTGGCTGTTGCTGGGCAAACCACAGCATGGCGCATGTGTGATTTAGATGGGCGAGCCTCATCTAATCACTTGAACTTGGAAGCCTGTTCCAACTGGTTTTTCAACCTGGCCAAACAATCACTCAACTCATTGAGTGTAGCATCCAGGGTCTCAATGTGGTGGCTGGAATCCCCTTTGCCAGAGTCAAGGCAAGTCTGGGCGTTCTGGATTGCGACTTGGGACTTGTCTTTGGCATCCGACGCCGCCTTGATGACGTATGGTGGGATCATATCTCCAAATGAGGAGCACTTTTCCCAGGTGTCCTTCATTTGCAGGACCTTGGAAGAAAGTTGCTCAGCCTTCTTTGCGACCTTTTTCTTTTCTCCCGCTTTGAGCTTGGGCTCGTCGGCAGGTTCACCATCCTTGCCATTCTTGTCGGCCTTCTTTGGTCTCTTTGGAGCTTTGGCATCCGTGGTGTCATGCAGAACCCCTTGGCCTGGTACTTTGGGTCGGCGTATAGGATCACCTTCTTGATTGGACAAAAGAAGGAACGGCTGTTCTTCAGGATGTTCTCGGCGATCTCGGGCTTGTCAGCATATTTTGCCCTGATGTCACTTTCCTCAACAAAATCGGCTTCTTGGTTGAACTCATACCGGGTGATGCTGATCTTCCAATCCTGAACAATTTCCTCCAATCTCTTGCGGAGATCCTCTCCCCTGAGGTGCGGGTTCTCCCGGTAGAAGCTGGAGATTCTGTCTCCATCCGCAGAAGTGAAATCCTTGACAAGACTTCCATGGTTGCGCTTCAGCCTTTCAATGGCGCTGCGCATGCTGTGGCAAGCCCGGCAACGGCGGATCTCATTCGAAGACTTGACGCCAGCCCGAACAATGACCAAAGAATTGTCCTTGTCAATGGGCTTGTGGCAAGTGCAGCACTGGCTCGTTGTGACTTCCTCCTCGGTCAAGAGGGCTGCGCCGCCCAGACTTTCCACCACGCTGGCAGCCGGGGGTTTGGGGCACGCTCGCCTGTGAAGTCATGTTTTCAAAGAGGCGAGCCTTCAAACTCAGCAGAAAAAGTTTCCAAGCTTCCTTTCCTGGCTTGACATAGTGGTAAATGGCCACAGTCATGCGTGATCAACTTGGGAAAGTGAATTGGAATGGGGAACTGTTGGATCACGAAAATGAAGACGTTCTTTCTACAAAACGATGCGAACACACGATGTGATTACTTACAGGGTTTTAAGAGCCCTTGGTTGAAAAAGACTGTGTCGCACGCCCACACATGCTAACTTTTCCAAACCAGCCAGGATCAGGCACCACGGTCAAAGTTTTCTTGGGCGAGCCTCAAGATTTCAGCTGGTCTCAGGCAGGCTTGAATGGAGCCGCAAGACCGTTTGGTATATACTATGGGCCTCAAGCGGTCACACCATTCCATCAGAAAGTCTTGGCTCGCAGGATGGAACAAGGAACCCTCTTTCCACAGGTGGACTGAGACCTGCAAGATGAACTTTCGCTCACCTGTAATGAGAAACACTTCCAAGAAAGCTGCGCAAACAATGAGGGCACCAAGCTCCGCAGCAAACAAAACATCTCCTAGAGAGAGCTGTCCAATTGGTGTAATCAACGTTCTGCCAGTGCACACTGACATCACATCATGTTGCCCCATGCCGAGACTAAGCAAGTGAGCCCCGTCTGGGATTTGGCGAGTAGGGCCTTGCAAAAAAAAAGGTTCGACCAAATTTTGGTTGCCTTTGAAATCTTGCAAGACATCATGGCCCATTCGAAGAGTCACGTGGTCACAAAGGGTGTCGTTGAAAACTTGAGCTGCCAATGTTTTGACAGCTCTGTGTTTCCGCTCTGGGCCAAAACAAGAAAGGTTTTTCTCAAACTTGAGCAGCAAGTTGGGGAGATGCATCAAGTAGTGGCCCTTTGGTTTGCAACAAGCTGGATAGAGCCTCTTGTAGCAAACAGCATGTTGGTCAACGGTTGCTTGCAATTCATCGATGAGGTTAAGCGCCTCATCTAGCTGTGACAAGATGTCTATCGCATCAGCTAGAAGACTCAAGCACCGACCATGTTCGGGAAGGATGCCATCAGGTGCCAAAACCTCTTTGGCAAACAAATTGAGGATGCTCACAGCAACCAAAACTTCAGCGGCAAAACATTTCAAGTGGCTGTTCTCTTCAGTGTTGACACGATCCTGCCAAAACTTCTTGGGGAGTTTGGAGCGGGCCTTTGGCAAAAATATCACTTGCCCAAATGTGTCGATGGCCGACAAAGGGAGTCCGGAAGCTTTGATCAACTTGGCAAATTCATTCAGCTCGTATTGCGCCACCCCACCAGCAGCTACCAAAACATGCATCCAGTCGTACATTGTGTGTTGAACTGGGCAAACTTTGGGCCCAATGGTGGGATGCCATAGCACATGAGAACTGGAAAATTGCAAGCCAAATGCTTGCCCCAATTCGTTACATTGCTTCTTGTTGCCCCTGACCGCGTGAAGCCGGTCCCTCATGTCTTGGAAAGTTGCTGAGCTCTGTGGGGCCCATTGGCTCCTGTCAGGGCAGCTGTAGTGGACAAGCCATCCGAGATTAGCTGCGTGTATTTGGTCCGGTGTCATGTGGCCAAGGACATTCATGCACAAGCAACATGGTTTGGTGCCTGCTGCTCCACGTAGACCCCAAAGCTCTTTGAGGGCCTTCTCATCCGCCAAAAGCAACCTGAAAGGAGCTTGGCACAGAAAGGTGCCAGTAGATGAGGTGCATGGGAAGCCTCGTTCAAAATTCAATGGCTCTGTTTCAAAAAGCACTGTCAGCATCTTGGCCATGAGACATGAATACCCACCATCCAATTTGTCCACCAGTTTTGCTGGGAATGCAGCAAAGAAGAACCAACCTGCATTCCTGGCAATGTACCATGAAGGCAAATTGGTGAAGGTGTAGTAGAAGCAAGCAACAGTCCGGGAAAGGTCTGGCCGCAACACGTTGCCTGGCTTGATTTCGTCCATGTAGATTGCCAAGGATGGGCCAGTGCCAGAGCGAATCAAATCCCCCAGTCTAGGCTGCAAACTGCACAGTTTGTTGAGCAAGGCGATGGGGCACAAGTATGGCCAATCCCAAGCCTGGCCCATCGCATTCCAAGGCCTTTTGCCAACTCGCCACGGACTGCTTTGCGTTGACCGCGGTGATCCAAGTCATCATCGCCCAACAAAACTACATGGTCGGAGAAAGACAGGTTTTTGGGAATCTTCTTCAGCTTC